TCTCAGCTAACAGTAAATTCTGTTAATTTCCTTGAAAGCCGTTTCAATCTTCAAAATCAGCTTATGAGATCAAAATCTCGTATGTTGCATAAACCTTATTTTCGAGGCTCATGAAACATAACTCTTCCATTTTCCAGCTTGGAGACTCAGATCATTTTGAACACGAATGCACGAGATCTCGTTAACCAGGATGGACCAACAGAACAACGGTCTTCAAGAATGTTTTCATAAGGTTTACATTTGTTGACACTCAAAGTTTAAAATCTCAAATTTAGTTTCAATTTGTTGGAAGTATTTTCTGGTTATGAACTTACGCATATATGGGAAAAGTCCGTATACGAGATCACACGTAATTAGTGTGATAGAGGGATCTTTTCTATACATCTTAGATGCTTTGACCTCCTCAAAAGTTCTCGTGACAAATAACCTCTAATTGCCGAAAAATGACTTTCTCGAAAAAGCTAACCTTCTGAAAACCGAGTGTGTTGTTTTCAACACACTACTATTCAGAGACCTCTTCGCCGAGCACGGCTATATCATGGGACCTTTAGCAGTCATTCGATAGCTTGGGAAACGCCGATTTCAATACTGTGCCCCTTTTTTGAGGAGGTCCTCTAAGTGCGCTATTGCAGCCAATAGAAGATTACGTTTCTCCTCCGGCTCACTTTTTTTTTGCTCGGCTAACGTTTGTGGACTGCTTTCAATGCAAGTTTAGTAGAATTCTTTTCTTTATTTAATCGCATCTACCGAAGATATGATGTTACAAATGCACCCATTCATATAGAGTAATGTGCAAAGGTTTCGCTTCAACTGGGACTCGAACCCATATCTCACTCTGCCCAGGAGCGCGTGCTCTAACCCGTTGCACTACAGATGCGCGTTTTTCTTCATCATTTTGAGCGAAGTTGAATCGTCGATCATGTGTGCGACGCACAACACCTTTGACCACTGCGCCACAAGCACTCTTCTCATTCTTCGAAAATTTCAATCATCTACGACATTACCATTTTCAGGCTCACCTTTTCTATGAACTGATGATGATCGAGCTGCTCGTATCACTGGATAAGCACGAAGCAAAGGTGTTGGCTGTCTCTGTTGCTAGATCTTCGCTAAGAATCAATCATCTGACTTCACTGACCCAAACCCCTGTGTGACTAACTGGCAAGGCTGGGCCGTCTGCTCCACCTCGTCTGCGTGTCTGTCCTTTAGTGATACAGTATAAATACACACAACTGTGTAAAAAACAGCGCCGATACTTCCTCTAAAGCTTCTCATTCTGAAGAAAAAACTGAATCCTTACTAAAAGTTTCCATTTCGAACTGTTACTAAACATTTCTATGCTGTATTTATATTTTTTCATATTCCATAAATATTTAGCGCCTTAAGGCCAGTTAGCTGGCTTTAATGCCGATGTGTGTTTACAGTCTCATAAGTGTAGAGATAAATTACTAAGTGTTATCCAATATTCAATCATTCCGGCAGAAAAATAGCATGCTTCCTAGATGGAGGTGTCAGTTCAACTAAATCAATCCGTAATAATGAATCCTTAGTGACGTAGAGCTCGACGGAAAATGTGCTTCATTCCAGTAGAGTACACTATATCAATGGATGTTAGAGACGCAGGCGAGGTGGAGCAGACAATCGAGTCTTACCGGTCAGACACACAGAGGGTTGGGCCAGCGGAAGTTAAAGAGTTGAAGATGTGAAAAACGCGGTGACGTCACTCTCGTCAATACCAAACCCATTTGATTCCACATAGCTGAAAATGAAAGATATCTACTCATCTATAACCATATGAAAATTTTTAGCGGTGGGAGCTTACGGTAGTCCCCTGTGCAGATCATTTAGCGACGGCATAATACCGTATCCCTCTCGGTTCTGGAAGGGTTTTTTCGAGATTGCAGGATACGGTAACCCATTCTGTCCTCATTGCTCTTGAAAGGCGACGGAAAACTCGTCCGGACAGTGACAGGTCATATAGTAAGTTTTTTTTTTCCCGAGTACTTCTCATCTTCTATTTTTCTTCCTTCCATTTTTTTCTTTCATTCTGATCTTTTGCTTTCTTTTTCTCTTGGTTTCTCTCTTTTTCCAGTGCTATTTCCTCTGCGTTTCGCCCGAATTTTCTCAGTCCTAATTAACAGTTCACGGTGAATGTACTAAATATCCACAATAGGGATACTTTTTTATTTTTTATTTTATTACTTTTTTGAAATTTAATTTTCCTTTGTTTTTATTTTTTTTCATTTTTTGCGTTCTACATTTTATTATTCTGCTTCCTATTCTTTACATTTTACTATTTATGTATTAATTTGTCTTTTCATAAATTCTTTATTTTTCATTTGTCATTTTATTATATTATTGCGGTTCATTTTTATGTTTTTTTATGTATCCTATTTTATCTTTCGATTTGAGTGTTATCTTAAGATCACAGCTCAAATTTTAATATGCCTGATAATCATTTTTTGAGCCACGCATTTTTAAAGCAAATCTTATTTTATGTTTCCCTTTTCTTTTTTGTTTTACATTTTATCTAGGGGATAGGAGATTTTTTTTTGTATATCCCGGTAGATTCGTATGGCACTGATGGCCCCGAAAAAATCTACTTTGATACAGACCTCTTTGTGGCCCGATGATTGCACGACGAATGCTCTTCGACTTGTTCTTCTTGTCGAGCTGTGCATTTGGAGACAGAGAGCTGTTCGGATGTCCAGACGACTTCGTCTGTCATAATGGTGGACGCTGTGATTCGGATGGACGATGTAATTGCACACTTGGATGGACCGGTACTCAATTTCTATCTTTTTTTTCTAGTCAAGATCTCTAATGTTTTTACGATACAATTCAGTCATGAGGGGACAAATGAAGAGCCGATCTCATTCGCTGGATAGAAACTGTTCATGGTGTATCAAACGAAATTCTTTATATCTAACCGCTTCTGGCGGTATTATCATGTTACAGATAGATATCCATCGATGTAGAATGATGTGCAAAACTTTCGCGTCAGGCGGGACTAGAACCCGCACCTCACTCTTTCCGTGAATGCGCTTGCTCTATCCAATACACTACTGACGTCCATTTTGCACATCGCTCTTTCTACACTTCAGCGCACCTATCCGCCAGCCGCCAGCCGTCAACGCCCTGGCCGGGGTAGTCGGTCTTGGCATTGAACCCAGCCACGTTGACAGATATTGGGTATTAAAGATCAAATGAAGTTGTTTCTATTTAACCGCTGGCGGCTGGCAGATAGGTTCGCTGTAGCGTAGAAAGAGCGATGTGCAAAACGGGCATCAGTAGTGTAACTGATAGAGCACGCATTCCCGAAAAGAGTGAGGTGCGGGTTCTCGTCCCACCGGGCGCTAAAGTTTTGCACATCGCTCTATAACACTGGGTATCTGTTCATGGGAAGTTGGTTATCATTTGAGAGCCTAGATTTCTAGGCTTTTGCGAAAACCGGCGACAAGGGCTGTAGCCTGGAGTTTCGGCTATCAAATGGTTGCTAACACTCCCATGAAAAAGTCCCCATTCAGCGAATGAGATTGTTTTTCATCTGTCGCATCGTGATGGACAAGTACCCGGAAATTCCCTAATTCACTTAGCACCGCAATGCTCTGCGCTTTCTGATTACCCTCCCGTGTTTATTGTGCCTGCGAAACTCTATATTGTGAAGAAAAAGCGAAAAACTTTTGCGTCAGTGGTGTACCGGTTAGCATACGCTCTTGGAAAGAGTGAGATCTGGGTTCGAATCTCGGCTGACGCAAACGGTTTTGCACAGCACTCCACATTATTGGGTGTAATTCTTCCGAAGGATGAAGCTCTTGGCGATGATCATTCTCTGGGTAATGCGCCATGTTTTCGTCTTCATCTAGCATCGTTTGAGTGACTGAATGCATATCCGATCCTCTACAATGACTCGCGGTGGCCTATAGAAGTACCAAGTCAGTGCTGTTATCCTCCAAGTCAGTGTTATCAGAGTGTGGCACCAATTCGTCCCCTCCCTCGGAAAGATTGGAGGCTGGCGAGCTATAAGCGCGGAATCGAACCATAGACCACCGATTGATATACCATGTGTGTATTGCACAGCATCCTCTAACCACTGCGCTTCACGAGCTCATGGTGTTCTTCTATAAGACACGACATCCAAAGTCAACATGATCATTGAAAATTGAAAAACAGTGATGCGATGATTGGGAACAAAATCAGCATAAAATGCATCGGCGATGCGTATTTTGTCCTCTGTTTTTTTTGAATGAAGATGGGAGAAAATTAATTTTGATCCCATACCGGAATCGAAACCTCTTTTCATCCTTTCCGAGGACGTGTGCTAACCAATTGCGCTACCGAGGCTGTTGTTCTGTTATCACTCTGTGGTACAAGGTGTCGATACGTTTGAATATATTGATAAAACAAAAGAATGCTGAAACTAGCTAACGACGAAATTTCGCAATCATCCAGTTGCCAACCCAATTTTGTGTTCGTAGTTATTCATGACTAAGCGTTGATGTCCCACATGCCATTGTACAACGCCTACTCCCCGTATTAAACAATCTGAATATATGCCTGGTTATTATTTTTTGAGCCATGCATGTCAGTGGTTTATTAAAGAAGGCTAACTTGTAGAGCCCGCTACACGTGTTTTGATCTTGCGATCTCGTCGGTCGGGCAGTTACCCTTTCTCGTCTTTTGCTAATCCTGTGTGGGTGCTCCAGTCCCCACACTAAGAGTTAGCGACAACGAACGTTTTACACTCTATGTTCAGTGAAATTATCACCAAACACAGAGTGTTGTGCACTTGATTGCTCCTGGCTAGTATATTTAATATATCATATCTTTCGTTTCGAGTGTTTTCTCAAGACCACAGCTCAAAGAACAATATGCTGGTAATTATTTTTGAGCCACATGTGTACAACACTATGTGTTCGGTGAGATTTTCACTGGACATAGAGTGTACAACGTTCGTCGTCGCTAACTCTTAGTGTGGGGACTGGAGCACCGCAGAGATTAGCAAAAGACGAGAAAGGGTAACTGCCCGACTGACGAGATCGCCAGATCGAAACGCGTGTATCGGGCTCTATATGTCAGCTCTCATTAACAGACCACTGACATGCGTGGCTCGAAAATATTTACCAGGCATATTGAAATTTGAGCTGTGGTCTTAAGAAATCACTCGAAACGAAAAATAATCTGAAGATAATATCTGTCTTCTAAGGTGAACAGTGTGAGAGAGAATTGTGTCCCACGAGTCCTTGTGTCAACGGCTATTGCAGTACAACTGAAGCCGGGCAGAAGATCTGCTTATGGCGATCACAGGTTCGAGGTGATTCAGTTTATTCTTGTGTATTTTTTGATCTCTGTTTTATGCTTTTTTTAATGCTATTAGAATTCCCCTTGACATTGGAGTTGAAACGATCCGGCGCGTTTTTATCTCTCTTTAGCTTTTCCTTTTCTCGTTCTTCGTTTCTTAAGGCAGTGAATACTACAAAAATCCGTTTTATTTTGAGTTCATGTGGAGATTTAGGGACGATACTGTGAATTGGACAGAGACGAGTGTTCTCAGAGGCCTTGTCCCTCAGACGCAACGTGTGTAAATCATGTACCGAGAGATCGTATGGACAAGTACGTTCGATGACTTTCTCCAGAAAATTTGGATAAAATTGCGGTGGTATTTTTGTTCATCTGTTCTCTTTTTTCTTCACTTCGAAAGTAAATTACGGCAGGCGACCATCAATGTTTGAATGAAAGGCGAAAGAGGAAAAGTATGATTAGAATCAGGCCAACTCTCAAAGACTCCATGCATACCGGAAAATTCTTCATTCTTCCAATCCCTTCTTAGATTTTCAGAGGCTTTTCCTGTTTATGTCCGACTGGTTATACTGGCGA